TTTTTTTTTTTTTTCTTTTACCTCCAGGCGAACCCAAGAGCCTGGGTTCCAAGGAACCCAGCTCACGGGTTCGTGACGAACCTAGGTCTTGGGTTTGCGACATCTATGAAATCTTTGGCCATAAATTTGTATCTGTGCAGGCAATCGTTCACCACCATGAACTGATTGTGGTAGTACCCATCAAACCTCTCCTGATCCCTTACGTCCTGCAGCGTCACGTACCCCAGCTCCATCCACGGCTTCAGCACCTTCAACACCTCCTCGTGAACCCCTCCGGCGTCGTAAATGATAAAATGGGATCTCTTTCCGAACAGTCTCACATGGGATCGTCCGTACCCACCCAGCCATGAACCCTCTCGATCTTACCTTCGTCTCAGTCTACAACAACGCTACCTTCGACCAGTCTCTCCATTAGATCTCCATGCCCGAGCTGGCTACCACTACTAAGAACTTCTCATCGGATCTCATAATTGGTGACAGTAGCTTCGAACTCGTCGACAAGACCACTCTCTCTAACAGCGTCACCATTGCCATCAAGAAACTCAATCGATATACCTTCCATGGCCTCCATGAATTATGGGTCAAAATGGAAATGCTTGGGAAGCTTCGCCACCAGAACATGGTGAAGATTCTGGGTTATTGTTTAATGGGTCTGATTGGCACGTGTCATGCAGCCATTGGTCCACACTTTCTTTTTCAAGAGATGATAAAATATAGTATAAAATCTAAGTTTTAATATGAAGAACTGAAGAACTTGGGCAACACACAATCCAAAAAAACTAGTTTTGAAGTATTTTTGTAAATTACGTAGTAAATTACGTACCTCGCTCTAACTCGGACAGATCACCAGGAAATCAACCGTAATGCTTAAACTTGAAGTGATCCGAACAGAGCTGGAATAAAAAAAAAATGTTAAGGATACTTTCTTCAACATCTTTTTATTAGACACTTTTTATATTATTAATTATAACACATATGATATAAATTTAATATAATTTATTATAATTTTAAATATTTTATTAATTACATTAAATTTCTATTTTATGTTGTCTAGTTATATTAAAGAGTGAGAGAGAGAACACTTCTCATGAAAAAAGATTATTTATATAAGAAATGTTAAGGCACCGGGGGCGGAAACTTTTATACAGTCTGTTCTCTCTTTTTTTTTTTTTTCTTTTTTTTAAAATAATTTTTATATACTTATTTCATATCATTTTAATCAGGTTAAATGCTAGATTTGGTCCCTCAACTTTAGTGAGTTGCACATTTTTGGTCCCTTAACAATTTTTTACACTTTTTTGATCCTTTAATTATACGAAATGCACTCCGTTAGTCTTTCTGTTAATTTCGACCGTTAACTCGCTCACGTGGCATTTTTTATTATTTTTTTGATGACATGGCAAAAGCAAATTGAAAACATGTTGACGTGGAATTATTTTTCATGCCAAATTACATTATTATCATTATTTATATTTAAAAAAAATAAATTAATATAATTCCTTCATCTTTTTCCTTTCTCTTTTTCTTTTTTTTTTTCTTCCTCTCCTTTCCAA